CGGTGTACGTCGTGTTTGTTCACCGGAGTTGAGAAGGTAGCGCCAGCCAGCGTTTTCTCGAGGTCTGGGCAAATTCCGTCGCTGTTGATGACATGACCGAGAAACTTAAGCTCCTCGTCGCCGAAGTGGCATTTTTCGGGCTTGAGCGACAGGCCAGCTGTTCGTAGCGCCTCAAGTGCTGCACGAAGACGCTAAAGGTGCTGCTCAGAAGTCGATGAAAAAGTGAAGACGTCATTTAAATAGACAAGACATGATTGCCACTTGACACCGGACAAAACTGTGTTCATCATTAGTTGAAAAGTCACGGGAGGAAAGCACAATCCAAAAGGAAGCACCTTGAATTCGAAGGGCCCGTCAAGAGTAAAGAAGACGCTCTTTTCCCTGTCACGCTCATCAACCTCAATTTGCCAATAACCATTGCGTAGATCCAAGAATAAAAAAATATCGAGTGTTTGTAAGGTGGTCGAGAGAGTCATCGATGCGAGGAAGTGGATAAACGTCTTTCTTTGTCACGGTGTTCAGTTTGCGATAATCAACACAGAAACGCAATTTGCCGTCTTTTTTTCACGAAGCATTTGTTCTACTTGGTCATGGATGGCGTCTTGTTCTCTGCGGGAAACTCGACTAGCATGTTGTCGAATATGCCTTTCGCTGGGCTCTGTTATGATTCTGTGCTTTGCGACGTGTGTTTGATTTTGGACATCGTGGCAAAGCAATCACTGAAGGAAAGCAGGAGGGAGCGAAGACTCTCTTGCTGTGTAGTCGACTGTGCGCAGTTCATATCAAGCTTAACCGGAGACTGTCGTCGCGAGGACCGGAAAAGAGTTGCGCGAGCGATAAGCTGGCTTTCTAGTCTACGATTTCTTCGAAATAAGCGATGACACACTGCCTCATCAAGTGTTGTAGTCATGACTAAAATTTGTTAGTAGAATTTTCGCAGGCTCTTGTGTCAGTTCTATCAGACCACGGGTGACACACACTTGAAGAGACAAGAGCACGGACACATAGCCTTCCACAACTCCGAGAGCTGTTCGGGTAATGTCACTCAGCACGTTAACCAGAACACTGGAACGGGACGGTACTGTCACTGAACTGTATGATACAAGCAACGCCATCATACGCGATTCACAATCTTGAGAATGTTTGTTACGTGAAAACGTCACCAGAAATTTTCGGATATTTATAATAGCCCTATATTGTCGAAGGAAGTATAATCCCAAGATGACCTGCCTGGAGCATTCCCGTTGTACGACGAAAGTCCCGATGAAGGTCGAAGCACCAATATGTACTCGGGCAGTGCTCCTCCCAACTGGCGTCACTAGATGACTACCCGCGGTACGGAGCTGCGTACCGTACCTCGGTGTCACCACTTTTCGGAGAGCAGCTTCGAAGTCACCACTCATAAGGAAGTAATCGGTTCCAGTATCCACGAGGGCGGTGGTCGAGTGATTGTCGACGGTTATAAAAATATCGGCGGAAATCGCTGCGTCACGTTCAGGAAATTTCGTGACACATATTGGCGTTGTCAACGTGTCACGGCGGACGATGTTTGTCAGTTCGGTCAACAGCGGTCCCACCCGCAGAGGCCATCGGCTTCAGTTTTTCTAGCGCGGGTCAGGTCTTGGAGACCTGTTTTGTACACCAGAGAACGTGTCATAACTACTAGGCGAGCAGAGGCGCCGAGGAGAAGGTGAGCGTGGCCGGTGGCTTTGTGCAGGAGGAAACGGCGGCTGCGCTGCTAGGTATTGCTGAACCTGGCGAGGACGCTCCCCGTTGCTGGGTCGACCGGCGTTAGGGTGAAACCCCTCAAGGCCTATCCTGCGATACTCACACTGGTGGTACAGATGGCCCGCTTCACCGCAGTGGTAGCAAAGGGGCCTGTTGTCAGAGGTGCACCATACGTCAGACTTACGGGTGACTTCACGCGGAACGCCATGCTGGAAAGTGCTCTCGTAGTTATTTGCAGGTGCGAATGGACGGGGCGATGGTGAGAAACTAGAGGGTGGACGGCGTCCGATAGAAGGTTGATGTCTCCTTAATGTTTCGGCGTAAGGCAGAGCAGGAGCTTCAGTACGCATTGAGAGCAATGGTTGGGTCACATTCCGGTGCTCATCACGAATAATGTCTGCCAGAATTGTCGCACTTGGGCGAGTAGAAGTGGGACAAACTTTTTCGAGCTCCTCGCGGACCACGCTCCGCAAAAGGTCGCGGAGTGCTGATAAGCCCAGTCCACAGGTGAAAGGTGACACCACGGAGACAGAAGCTTAGCGGTCGTACGGTAGAGAGCGTTGCTGAAGTTCCCGCTCCATGGCAGTAGCTTCCACGATGAACTCATCGACAGTGGCTGGGGCTTGCGCATGAGTCCAGCAAAAAGTTGCTTCTTGACACCCCACAGGAGGAGTCGACCTTTTTTGTGTCATCCTTTCCTTGGTCAGCGCGCTTGAAAAGCCTGACATATCTTCAACAAACATAGCCTCGTTTTCATTTGGCTTCTTAACCCGTCTCTGCAGAGCCTCCTCGGCTTTTTCTTTCCTTTCGCCATTTCTGAATGCTTGGCTTAGCTTTCGCTGAAAATCTTGCCAGTTGGTTATAGACGGCTCATTGTTCTCTTACCAAATTCGAGCATAGTCTTCAAGAGTGAAATAGACATAGCGAAGCTTCTTGGTGTCATTCCATTTGTTGGCAGCTGCGACCCGATCGAAGTGTTCTAGCCAGTCATGTACGTCCTCAAATAGATCACCATGAAACGGCCTCGGGGTGCGTGCTGTGTAGAGGACGCTTGGGGTGGGTGTGAGTTGGTCTACGTTGCTCTCTTGCGTCTCACTTAGCGTTGTGGTGGTCATTCTTGCCGAGCTCAAGGAACCAAATTCAGGAGGTAGTCCTAGCATAGGCAGCTGAAGCGAAGTCCCAGATTTTCCTCCATATTTGTTGTGATGGTGGCAGAAGCTTGAAGCGGCTTGAGTTAAAACTAGCGAATTGGGATTGTGCCCAGCACCTTCACCAGTTTGTCGCGGTAATAAAATTAGTGCAAGTAACACTGTAGCAAACAGCGGAACAGCTTCGATCGAGCAGCGCGAGTTCGTCGTTGTCTTTCTGCAGACCAAATCCTTCGACATGCACAAGTAATAATTACACTAGCCACGCAACAGCCAGACACCGAGTACATGCTCGTGTAACTATGATGACGTCGATTGATGTAACGAAATTTTATATCTCAGGTCATTAAAACGTGTCGACGCAATGGCGTGATCGCGGAAAAGCGATTCCCTGCATTTCTGTATTTTCTGCGCCCTCCGCTGCAGGACGCTCCTGGCAAAATTTTGTCTTTGATGAGGCATCTAAGCATTTCGTTCTGATATACAGTAGTCCCATATTCTATTAAATAAAGCGTTGTCACACAGCATGGTCAGTCAATGCACAAGAACCTAAAAACAAGCTTGATCACTTCGACATGCGAATCAGCATTACAGGCAAACCACCATGTGTTCTCACCGAAGCAGTGCAGTCCTTTAAAATACGGGGTCGTTCAAAGATAAGTTGTACAACATGAAAAAGGACTTAACATAAGTTGATGTGCAACACATATATTGAAAAATTGTTTCTGTGTTTCCTAATTTCCTGATTAGGCGTAATACTACTAACGTTTCACTCTTGAAGTGTAATGAAATTTCTAGTTTAAGCGTTTTGAATACTAATGAGCAAGCCACCTTAGATGTGGTAAACCGTGCCGATTTCTATATTAGAGCCTGTACATAGCCAACTCATGTTTCACCGCTATATTGTATTTTTCCGAGGTTCAACCCTAACCTCAGTTTAGGGTAGTATACCGAATGCTAGCATCTGGTTAACCTCGCTGCGTTTAAAAATACAAAGCTGCGTTTTAAAATACAAATACAAACCAATGGGGTTTTATAGAGTGTAAATGGAGGTATGAAAAAATTTGGGTGGTCTAAACGACAAGTTGCCGCCAGCAAAAACCAAACCTGCCACCTCCCTATTGGACGTACGATTCTCAATACATGTGCACCGGAGGACGACCTCCACAAGAGCTTAATTAGTAGAGAATAGGGAGCATCATGCGAAGGTTGCTGATTTGCTTTCTGCAGGCTGCAGTTGTCTTTTCTTACAGCCCGTTTTTTTTCACAATTTTATAGTTACAACAATTACCTCCCTGATGGTTTTCTTGAATGAATCGTTGGTCAGTTTTTAATAAAATTGTTTTCATGAGAGTGCTTAAGGAATTCAACCGGCGGATTTTCTAGCGTAAGTCTTGAGCGCTTTAGTGCATCGTGATTTCTGTGAGACTGTATCGCTGAACCGAGAAACACTGACTCACGCAGCCTTCACTGCTCAATTTCACTCTGTCTGTAACGCTTATTCCATCATTCTTGTTAGTTGGTGCCATCTCACTCGAATTAGTAGGTGCATGCAGAAACTCTATTACTCTGGTGACTACAGAAGAGCTGCCACTCGGCATTTGTCAGCACTTGCAGCAGTACCACGCCTTACCACTCTCATACGGCTACATGACCCAGACAAGCAAGAACAATGCGAAAGGAAGTAGGAATCAAAGACAAAAACGAGTTTCTGAAGCATTGAACCTATGACCTTGTAGGATGGGTAGAGCAACGGGCTCTTTTTGATGCAGAACATGGGTCAAATCATCAAACTACAAATTCTTCTTTAACACTTTTTGTCCCCTTATAGCATGCAATTCGCCAACGTGTCAGACACTGCTTGAGTGTCAACTTTTCTGTGCAGCTGAGCTAAACTAGCTGCATCATCAGATATACAATTTTCACCTTCTTATTTCTTCTTATACAACAAGCATACTACTTTCTTCGGGCTGATATTTGCCTGAGTTTACTTTGCATTGGTTACAAGATAAAGCCGGTCTTTTGTTTAAAGACTGGCTTTATGCGAGTAGTATGTTACTTAGCGAACTATATTCTATTGTTTTCTAAATCACGGTTGAGATCACTGGTTCCCTGTCTTTCTAGAAGGAAGTAACTCCACCCAAGCAAGTGAAGCCATCGAAGGTAAGACTTTCGAATCTCCCACCCCACTTAGGCACGAAGAGTTCTGGAAAACGTTCACTCTTCTTTCTTAGATTAGGTCGCCCTGCTCGTACTGAATAATACAATGCTGTGCTGTCTACTCTCGTGTGTGTTCTAGCCTAGCGTTGACCAATTACTCGAGAACAGCAGCTACTAAGCTTTTAACGCCCTTGAACTATAATCAAGGTTGCTCTTGTGGCATAACAGGGGTGTGGCAGTCAGCGTTTTCTATAAGTGGAAACTAAAAGTAGCTGCCAAAATTAAAGATGTCTGAATAAAACCACACTTAGATATATTTTATTGAAGGCCCCTTTCGAAATGTTTATACCCGCTGCTTGCGCTTTCCCTCACATGTCATGGGCTCGAGTTTTACCGCTGATGCATTGCTATTCTTTTCCGTGGATGTTTCGGCAAGTTACTTTGGGCTTGACGCCCACAGCAAAAGATGAGCCCGTTTCTCTGAGAATGTTGGGTGCGTGGTCTATAGAGTGTTTTTTGGCTATCATTTGCTGTAAACAGCCAAACCCAGAGAATACATTGAGGAGACAATTCAAAGTTGTGCGCTATTCCATCCCACGCAATAGGCTAAACACACTGTCATCTCTACGGAGATCAGTAATCACTAATAGGAAGAGATGTCTCTGTACAGTAGAGGGCATAAGACGAGTGGCATCGCACGCAACAAGCTGAGTGAAAGACCACAACAAGGGTTTTCTCACTCCCAGTTCTATCAACTCAGCGTCAATGCTGAAAAGCCTATTGCATACTTTATCATAGAAAAGTCGGACAAAGCACATGATTAGACTTTCTTGAAGAACAGCGACCACCCAAATAAAAATCAGAATAGGAAAAAAATATCAAAAAATGAATAACATTCTTATAATGTTGGAAAAATGTTGAGAATGAAGGATTAACGTCATCCCCATTGGCTTGTGCAATGTGCAATGCATGAAAGGGGGATGTTGTCCATGGCGAGTTCATAGAAGGTGACCGCAAATCTGGTAGACAGTTACTTACTACAGTGTCCTGGTTTTCCACTAGCATGCTGGGAGTGGTTGTGTTTGCGTTGCCAATCAAGTAGAGGTTTTCTTCTAACCAAAATAGCCTAGTGTGGATATGTGTCAATATCAGCATCTAAAGAGCATATCTCAGTAGGTAGAACCCACTAGTGAAAACGCTCGAAAACCTGCTTCGACAACTTCGCTTTGTGCACTAGTTCGTAGCTCGATGGTGTAGTGATTGTTTCATGACTTTAGTACTTAGCGAGGGAGGAAGTCAGCTACTCTGCCCTAATGCGGTGTCCTAGAAGGCTCCATATACTTTTTGCGCAGTAGAGGACGTGCTGTTTCAGCACAAGTCAAAGTAATGAGTACGTATGAAATCGCTGTACGTTAGCAATCAGCTACCATGTATTTCAATTCTCTGGGCGGTATAGTGTGGCATGCTCGGCTCTTAAGGCTTTTCGTAAATGACGCTTAGGCCACAGTCAATGTCATTTGTTTGCCAATGAAATTGATTAATTGATATGTGGGGTTTAACGTCCCAAAACCACTATATTGTCACGGGGTCGTGACGTGGCTGAAGACAGGAGACTTCTTGTTGGAATTTAACTGTTTATTTGGGCGAACCTGTGCCCGGTAGACAGAAAGTCCAATTACAGCAGCAGTCTCGCACAGATAGCAGTCTCAGACTGATAGCGGCGAACGGAGCGTCGGCCTTCGATCAACAACTGACAAGCGGCGAAGCGCGTCGGCATTTATACTCCCGCCGTCGAATGTTCTAGCGCTATCGCTGGCGGCGGCGTGCGTTCCAGAACAATCTGTACCATTCGCACAGTGGGCGTGATCTTATCGAAATGATCTACTACAGTCCGGAACCCTCTAGAAAACTGCAGGCGCGGTTTGCCCTGAGAATCGTGTGGTGTTTTGGGACGATAACAAAAACTTAAGAAATGGAACGTGGCATTGCCCCCCTCTGAAAAAGGCATCGTCTCGATGCTTTAACTAAAGATGAAGGTACAATAATAATGCAAGAAAGTACAATGAATAAATTACGATACAACAATAATACAAAAAACACTGGTTCAGTTTGTTAACGCGCATGAAACGGCTTGAGGCGCGCGACATGGACGACTTCAGGTCGCGATCGGCGTCGTTGAGAGTTCGTAATGCCGTCGGGGACAACCTCGTAATCAAGTGGGCCGAGACGTCGAACCACCCGGTACGGTCCGAAGTACCGTCGCAGAAGCTTTTCACTTAGTCCACGTCGGCGTATCGGCGTCCACACCCAAACACGTTCACCGGGCTGGTATTCCACGAAGCGTCGTCGAAGGTTGTAACGGTGGCTGTCAGTCGTCTGTTGATTCTTGATACGGAGACGCGCAAGTTGTCGGGCTTCTTCGGCGCGATGAAGGTACTCGCTCACATCGAGGTTTTCTTCGTCGGTGACGTTGGGTAACATGGCATCGAGCGTCGTTGTCGGGCTCCTTCCGTAGACCAATTTGTATGGAGATATCTGCGTCGTCTCCTGCACCGCCGTGTTGTATGCGAAGGTCACATACGGAAGAATGGCGTCCCACGTCTTGTGTTCGACATCGACGTACATTGACAGCATGTCGGCGATCGTCTTGTTAAGCCGCTCGGTGAGGCCGTTGGTCTGTGGGTGGTACGCTGTCGTCCGGCGGTGGTTGGTTTGGCTGTATGCCAAGATCGCTTGAGTTAAGTCGGCAGTGAATGCCGTTCCTCTGTCGGTGATAAGGACCTCCGGGGCGCCGTGACGTAGGACGATATTTTCGACGAAGAACTTAGCTACCTCGGATGCACTGCCTTTTGGCAGGGCTTTTGTCTCGGCGTAGCGGGTGAGGTAGTCGGTGGCTACCACGATCCACTTGTTTCCGAAAGCCGACGTCGGGAACGGCCCCAATAGGTCCATACCAATCTGCTGAAAGGTCGGCAAGGTGGATCAATTGGCTGCAGAAGTCCCGCTGGCCTTGTCGGCGGTGTCTTGCGTCGCTGACAGTCCCGGCATGTCCTCACATAACGAGTGACGTCGGTGGTAAGACGCGGCCAGTAGTACCTTTCTTGTATCCTCGCGAGCGTGCGAGAAACACCGAGGTGCCCTGCCGTCGGATCGTCGTGCAGGGCCTGCAGGAGTTCTGGTCGCAGAGCTGAAGGCACCACAAGGAGATACTTAGCCCGAAGCGGTGAAAAGTTTTTCTTTTGTAGAAGACCATTTCGTAGAAAAAACGACGCAAGTGCACGCTTGAACACTTTCGGGACTTCGGCGGTCCTGCCTTCGAGGTATTCTATTAGGGCCTTAAGTTCCGGGTCGGCCCGCTGTCGTTCAGCGAAGTCGTCGGTAGTTATCGTTCCTAAGAAGTAGTCGTCATCCGGGTCGTCGGGTAGCGGTTGGTCGACAGGCGCACGAGAGAGACAGTCGGCGTGGGAGTGTTTTTTGCCGGACTTGTAAATGACAGTAATGTCATATTCTTGAAGTCTCAGGCTCCATCGTGCGAGGCGACCTGAAGGGTCCTTCAAAGTGGCTAGCCAACACAAGGCGTGGTGGTCGCTCACAACTTTGAAGGGCCTGCCGTAGAGGTATGGGCGAAATTTCGACGTAGCCCAGATGATGGCGAGGCACTCCTTTTCTGTTGTGGAATAATTTGCTTCTGCTTTGGATAGCGATCGGCTGGCGTAACTAATAACCCTTTCAAGTCCGTCAGCCCTCTGCACAAGAACGGCGCCAAGACCTACGCTGCTTGCGTCAGTATGTATTTCTGTCTCGGCGAATTCGTCGAAATGGGCAAGTAACGGAGGCGTCTGGAGGCGATGTTTAAGCTCCTGGAAAGCGTGTTCCTGTGGCGTTTCCCACTTGAACTCCACGTCGGCCTTAGTAAGGTTAGTGAGAGGATCGGCGATGCGGGCGAAGTTTTTCACGAACCGCCTATAATAGGCGCACAGGCCCAGAAATCGGCGCACGGCTTTCTTGTCAGTGGGCGGCGGGAATTCGGCGATGGCGGCTGTTTTCCGTGGATCAGGACGAACTCCAGACTTGCTGATAACGTGCCCCAGAAACAAGAGCTCTTCATACGCAAATCTGCACTTTTCTGGCTTCAGTGTGAGTCCGGAAGTCTTGATGGCTTGAAGTACAGCTTCAAGGCGCCGAAGATGCTCGTCGAAACTCGAAGAAAACACGACGACGTCGTCCAAGTACACAAGGCAAGTCTGCCACTTCAATCCTGCCAGTACTGTATCCATAACGCGTTGAAAAGTTGCAGGCGCTGAGCAAAGGCCGAAGGGCATCACCTTAAACTCGAAGAGGCCGTCCGGTGTTATAAACGCCGTCTTCTCTCGGTCTCTTTCGTCGACTTCTATTTGCCAATAGCCAGTCTTGAGGTCCATTGACGAAAAGTACTTGGCGTTATGGAGCCGATCAAGTGCGTCGTCTATTCGTGGGAGAGGATACACGTCCTTTCTTGTGATTTTGTTCAGGCGGCGATAATCGACGCAAAAACGTAGGGTCCCATCCTTTTTCTTCACTAACACCACGGGGGATGCCCATGGGCTGTTGGACGGCTGGATAATATCATCCCGCAGCATTTCATCAACTTGTCTCTTGATGGCCTCACGTTCTCGCGTCGAAACCCTGTACGGACTCTGACGGAGTGGTCTGGCATTTTCTTCGGTTATGATGCGATGTTTCGTGATTGGGGTCTGCCGAATTTTCGATGACGACAAAAAGCAATCTTCGTATTGCAGGAGCAGGGCCTTGAGCTGTTCTTGCTTATCGTTCGGAAGTCTGGGATTGACGTCGAAAGCTATGGGAGGGGCTTGGTTCCTCTGAGCAGGTTCCGCAGAATCGGCGAGGGCGAAAGCACTGGTGGCGTCGACAATTTCTTCGATGTATGCGACCGTCGTTCCTTTGTTAACATGTTTGTACTCATTGCTGAAATTTGTGAGCATAACCGTTGCTTTGCCTCCCCG